TAATTATTACAATTAATTGATACGATAGATTATATCAATTCTACTTTTTTTTTCTTTTTTTCTTTTTTATTTTTTTTTTTTGATCGCGGCAAACACAAACGTTACACTTGTAATAATTTATTTTATTTGTTTGAAACAATCCTCGATCATAACGTACGCTAAACACTTAAGAGATAATTTAAATTAATTTATTAAATTTTTGATATTTTTTTTTCTAATTAGAAAATAAACGAAATTTTCAAAACACGATAAATCAAACGTAGAATCTAATTTATCGAATTCTAAATGTTCTTTAGAATCGAGCATGTCAAATTATAAAAGTTTGAGATCAAACAATGATCTTTATCTAATCTTTGTAAACAGAGACAAAAGAAGAAGAGGAAAAAAAGGCAAAAGAAAAAATAAACTTGTCATCTGAGATCATCGTAAGCATTATGATGATCATAAGCACTTTACATAGTCATCCTTTAGTATACGTCAAGGATCACTGTAATACGAAGATTCTTCTATAGGTATATATGTATTATATATATATATATGTACATACATATACATAGAAATGTACTAGGGTACAATATTTCTGCATGCGTTACGCGATATTACGCGATAGTGTGTGGGCGTCGAAGGTACATTCCGCTCGCGTTATCGCCGCGGTGTGCACCGAGCGTAAAACCAGGTAGTGGAGAGTTTTCAAGTGGCAGCTGCCATCCAAATGCACCGCGTTTATTACGCAAACGCGGCCGAGTTGCTGCCGACCGATAGAAATTCGTTTCGTTAGATATCACGAACCTTTCGAATGTAATAGCTGATCGATCTTTTTCCCTCTTATTTTTATTTATTTACTATAATTTCTTTTCATTCGTTTTATTTTATCTATCGATAATTTATAGTAGAACCAGTATATATCTAATGCTATAACACGTTATATGAGTTTAAATTTTAAATGCCAATGAAGGTATAATCGTTTATTTTATTTCGATATAAAAATCATTAAAAAAAAAAAAAAAAAAAAAAAATATTAATAATTTTAATATTTGTTTCACTTTTACAAAAATATTTCACTTTCGTAACATCTGAAATATTTCTTTCGTAAATAAAATTAACATATATATGTGTGTGTATGTATGTGTGTGTGTGTGTGTGTGTGTGTGTATATATGTCATCAAATACATATTGATTTAGTCCGTGTTATAGGAAGATCTATTATTGATTTTGATGATCATTATGACTATTTTCACATCAATGACTACCAGAAGGTAACAAAGTAAAGGCATTTATACTCGAGTGAATGCTCTTACTTCCACTCGTTTAATTAAAATTCTCCTCGTATAATCGCAGTTCATTCGGACTAGCTCGTAACACGTTCGAGTTATGCTTCACGTTGAATGGCGTCTGTGCAATAGTAAGGATACTTTACAGCGCCGTGAGGATGATTATCATGTCGCTAGTATCCTCATACATCTCTTTTGTTCTTAACCTTAATGTTATCGCAGCTTTAATTAAATCGAGTCCGACATTTGTTTCCTTCTTTCGGTTTGAGTACATGTTTTTTTCTTTTTTTTTTTTTTTTTTTTTTTTTTCTAAAAAACAAGTACAAGATATAAAGCGAACAATTTTTTGTTAGTTCCGTTTTCTTTCGATAAAATTTAAGTGAATTAGACGATCAAATTGTTTTTCTGAGATATGAGTCTGATTTGTTTTGCATTATTTATTCAGTTAAAAAAAAAAAACCAAAAAAAAAAAAAAGAAAGGAAAAAAAGAAGAATTGAATAATTTCATAATAGACGATAATAATTATATTTGTGAGAAAACACTTGATAGTTTTAATTATTATTTTAATTTAATTGAATTAATATAAGGGAAATGTTTTAAGCAAGAAAATATATAATATTGCAATTTGTTAAATGATCTTTATAAATTTAATAATTATCATTGCAAAAGTATTTTTCGCCGATAATTCTTACGATTTTCTTTCGATTGAACCTCTTTTGTCCCTCGAATATTTCCTCTTTTTTTTCTTTTTTTTTTTTTTTTTTCGCATAAGTCGAAAAACGATTGTAACGAAGGATTCTAGGCACCCAGCACGACATTCAGCGAGAAGTACGAAACCTTTACGACGGATACTTTAGAGCGAACGACCGAAGGGTTGCAATGAAAAGAGAAAGATAGGAGGAAGAAGAAGGAAAAAGAAAAGAAGAAGGAGCAAGGAGTACGGAATCAAGGCTTCGTGAAACGACGTAAGCGAGCACCGGAATGGCTCGTAATGCTTGACGAAGGCATAACCTTAAAAACAAGGGGTGAGGAGGAGGAGGTGAGTCGACGTGAGGAAGCTGGAAAAGAAGAAGGAGGAATAGAGGAGAAGGAGAAGAAAGGGGTTGGGAGGATAGACGGTAGAAGAGTATCCCTGCCTCTGGTTCGACGTTATGTATGTAGTTTACTTGTAGGGGGATGAGAAATCGGGAACCGTGGGAGGTGAGGCAAAGGAAGGAGGCCTGTTCGTAAATGAAACGATGTCGTTGACGACATTTGGAACAGATAATGGCGCGAATGTGCCGCGGGGGTGAACGAACCGAGGGTTGGACTGGGTTCAGTTGGTTGGGTCGGCTTGGGTTGGGTTGGTATCACATCAGCTATCGATCTTATAACGCTGTGTGTTCCCCGTTGTCTCTTCGTTCAGCTTCTCTCCCTCTCTATATCTATCTCTTTCTCTCTTTCCTTCCTCCCTATTCGCACGCACGACTGTCATCTTTCTCTCTCCTCTCTATTTCTCTCCCTCTCCCTTCCTCTCTCTCTCTCTCTCTCTCTCATTCTCTCTCTTCAACTTCCTATCTCTGTTTCGCTCTTCCTTCCGTATCTTTTTCTTCTTCTTTCATAGACTTTTTCCTCTCTCGAATGTTACTTTTTTACTTTTTTTTTTCTTTTTCCTTTTTTTTTTTCTTTTTTTTCTTTTTTTTTTCTTCTTACTGCTACTATCGCCGACACACTATCTTTCTCTCTTTCTCTCTTTCAGACTACGTTAGGTCCGCCTCGTCGTTATCATCGTCTCCTCCGTCGGCATCAACCCCTTCGCTACTCTTTCTATTTACCTACACGGAACTCACCCCATGCGTACGGGGATGCATGCGTGCGTGGATGCGTACATACGCGTGTTACGCGCCCACGTACCCGGAGACGTTAATTTTCCGGGAAATTATTTCGCCGAGAAAAGCCGACGTTAGTACAAGAGGGGTCTCTTCCAGTGTGCCTCTGGTGGTGCTGTTGCTACTAGTGGTGATGGTTGCTGGTGCTGCTGGTGGTGGTGGTGGTGGTGGTGGTGGTGGTGGTGGTGATGGTGGTAGTGCTGGTAGTGGTGGTATTGCGAGGGAGGGACCGAGTGAGAAAGAGATAGAATGGGCTGTAGAGGGACGTCAGAGGTATGCTTCTGTCGGTGAAAGAGAAAAAAGTAGGATGACGGTGACGAGGATGGCGATACGATAGTATGGAGACTGTCTATCTCTCTCTCTTTCTCTCTTACCTTCCGGGCTATGACCCATATGCGCTTCTTATACATACACGCATACTTCGACCTCTACCATTTCACTCTTCATATCCCCCGACCACCCAGCTACGATGATTTTATTTGCCAGGATTTTGTCGGCATAGCTTAAGTGGATTATAACTCTTTATGTTTAATACCCTTTTAAAGGCCAACGAAATTCAATCGACCCGATACTTCGTGTGCCTTCTCTCACCTCATGTTTAATCTTATTTATTTGAGAAGATTCTACGTGAAAAGCATTATAAATATTGGTTTCAAGAGTTTGACGATTAGAATATTTATAGGTTCAAATTGTTTTCTTTTTCATTTTAAGTTTTGAACTTGATTAGCAATTTAGAAATGCAATTCATTTAGTTGAATGAAACTAGAAGAAAATTGTCATGGACCACATTCGTCATTCTTTATCCAGTTTAATTAACTTTTTCCTCCTTTCTTTTCTTTTCTCTCTCTCTCTCTCTCTCTTCTTTTTTTCTTTTTTTTTTTTTTCTTTAATTCCCCAGCATTTTTTCTTTACTTGTCTTCATTCATTATTCGTACGTATTATTATTTCGTTAACACCTTTTCCGTATGTAATCTATTATCCGTCCCATTTGTTAATCTCTTATACGCTCTTACAAAAAAATTCATGTTACTGTATCGAGTTAATAAAAGAATATATTTTTGACGTCATGTATAAAAGATCAGATATCAAAACTAGAAAAAATTAAATTAAATTTAAACGAGATAAAATAAGAAAAATAATTATAAATTATAAAGGATTAATTTACATATAGGGGATTTCTTTTTTCGGTAAATAAACATTTTGAATTAAACGATGATTAAACTTCGATGAATTAAACATTGAATATTAATGTGACCATTTATAATCTATTGTAAGTAACTATTGAAATGATCCATAAGCAAATAATAATAAAAAAAATAAAAAAAAAATAAAAAAATAAAAATATAATAAAAAAATACCGACGCTATTTATCAATCGATCCATTAATTATAATTTTAATTTATGAAAAGAACAAGTTCTTTTTCCGACGTAAAAAGCCCAATATCAACCTCATTTACAAAGTAGATATACCAATGTCCTAGATATTGGACGCGTTTAATTTTCGCGTAGTCTCTTTCTCGGCATGCCGTCAATCGATCGTTACAGAAGAAGAAACGGGAAACGTAGAGATGGTCGTTGCGAAAATGTTTCGAACGAGTCATAGGAATCTCTTAATCCAGAAGGGAGTAGAAGGGGACAGAGGGAGAGAGAAAGAGAGAAAGAGAGAGAGAGAGATTGAGGGTTGAGCGACGTTCGAAACCGGAAGTCGGTTTCTCAGCGGACAGAAGGAGGAGGAGGAGGAGGAGAAAGAGAGGAGGGAGAGAGAGGGTATTCGTAGACTCTCTGAACGTACATGCGTACGTTCTGTGGAGACGTGCCGATCAGAGCTGTCAGGTTATTGTCTCGGCTTTTAATGGAACATCATGAGGCGCGAAATACAGAGCTGAACTGAATTAAATGTCGGTGCGGTTTGCATTGAGGTCCTCGTCGCCATCGTCGTCGTAGTCGTCGTCGAGGCCGATGCATAATAATGGAGGTAGGCCGTTGAGTAGGTGGTACTTCAATTCTGTGAAAACGAACGAAAGAGAGAAACGAATGAGAGCGACAAGGATGGAAAAGTTAACAGAGAGGGAGAGAGAAAAATAGATGGAAGGATAGAGAGAGAGAGAGAGAGAGAGAGAGAAATAATTGCGGAATTAACGTGATCGGCATACATTATGAATTTGTTGCCCAAAAATCTAATTTGCTTGTTTCGAAGCTTTCTTCTATGACGTAAAAAAAATTACTAGTAAAATATTTTGTTTTGTAAGTTTTCACTGATTAAAAAAAAAAAACGTATGATAATGAAAGTTTATAAAACAAAAAATTGAAAATTATACAGATGATAAAAGTTGTTGAAAAATTTTCAACTAAAAATTCTTTTAAACACGTTTATGTTAGTCACTTGTAGGGGATTGGTAATATTTTTCAAATCGTTTTATAACAGAAGATGAAGGAACTAAAAAATTGTTTAAACTATTGAAGTAAATTAAAACAATGTCGTGAGAAATTCTGAGGGCATTTAAAAAATGACGTAACTTTAAACATTTTTATACCGATTTTATAGTCACTATTTTAATTATCGATCATTATAATCTTATCATTGTTATATGACATGAAAACGTTTCATAACAAATCTTAATTTTTTGTTGTTGTATGTCAGTCATATATTACAAAATAAGAGTTTATTGTTAGGTGATTGCCTAATTAGAGAATCATATTACCGATATATAGAGAACACGATTGGTACAAAATATAGAAGAATCCATTTATTTTCACGTTTTAATCGGAATAAAAGAAAAATGGAGAAACGAAGTTGGTTGACGTATAGAGATATCGAGAGATCGAATCGAAAAATCAGAGCTTTTACGAGAGAGGGAGGGAGAGAGAGAGAGTGAGAGAGAGAGAGAGAGAGAGAGAGAGAGGAGTAGGAGAGAGGAAGATAGATGGTTCGTGTATCGGAGGCGAGAGCGGTATTAATTAGCCATATCCGATATCCATTTTATTTCGTTCGCGATGAGTTCGGCGATCGTTGCGCACATGTCTCAAAATAAACGGTTGTCAATCAAGCGGTCGAGGGAGATGTTACCGCGCGTGGGTGGAACGCGAAGTGACCGTGCGGCTGAGTGAACGAGTGTGTGTGAGAGAGAGAGAGAGAGAGAGAGAGAGAAAGAGAGAGAGAAAGAGAGAGAGAGAGAGAGGGGAAAAGAGATAGATAGATAGATAGATAGATAGATAGAGAGATACAGAGATAGAGATAGAGAGAGAATTCCGAGGGAAATACCGTCGACGCGTGACGAACGATCGTATCTCGTCGCGGATTACGCGCACCATCCGTTTCGATAAAACTATATTGATTCGTTATCGGTGTTCGTTCTTTTCGCAGCTCAACCCTTTCGTTATTATCCGAAAAAGCGATTAGTTTATTGACTCAATAGTCTGATCGATCCATCGGCTTCGATATAGGCTAATTTTGATGATGAGATATGACCGTGAATTACAAATAGAGTTATCATCATTTTTGTATATATAAATATAATAATTGTACTTTGAACACGATAGACCAAGATAGACCAGTTCACTCCGTTCTACTTGTTATCGTTGCCAATCGAAGAAGATTTATTGCGAACGAGTGGCACTGATATCTCTCATAAAAAGACGTCGACGTGTACTTACGTACGATGACTTTGCCAGAGACCACCATGAAAGAAAATAGACGAGAGAGAGAGAAAGACAATTATATATATATATATATATATATATATATATATATATATATATATATATATATATAAGAATAAACTCGACAAGAGGCATACTTTTTTAAGAAACCACTCTCACGAGACACATCTTGGTCGTAGAAGCGTGGCCACCGGAAGTTGTCGTTACCTAGCCAAGAAAGAAAGACAGAGACAAGCACGACGATAAAGAAGGCAAAGAAAATGGTTAAGAGAAAGAGATAGAGAGAGAAAAGGGAGAGAGGACTAGAAAGATGATAGAAGGACGAACGAAGCTAAAGCTTATGCCGCTTTTAAATATAGTCGGCTGGCCGGTTATACTTGTGTATGTATATATCTATGTGTTCGTCCACGTGGAGTAAGCATATATGCGTACACATTGCTACGTTATCAAAGGATTGGAAGGCAGGCGAAGCGCCTCTGCATGAAATTTTGCGTGCATTATAAATGAACGCAGTCTTGCAGGTGGGGGACATGAAGAGGAGGAGGAAAAAGGATAGAAGAGAAGGATGAAGGGGAGGATGAAGGGGAGGAGGAGGAGGAGGAGGAGGAGGAGGAGGAGGAGGAGAAGGAGAGAGAGAATATAGAGTTAGAGGGAAAGAGAGGGAGAGATGGGAAAGGGCTGCGTACGAAGGAGCAAGTGTGTGAGTAAGAGAGAAAGGGACAGAGCGAAGTCAGAGCAACGTAGTTGGGTTAGGTTGGGCCTGAAAGCGTTGGTTGGTCGGACGTGGCTCTAACCTACCGTAACGCTATAAAAATAACGGGCGACTTCTGTCCCCCTTCTTCTTCTCTCTTGCCTCGTCGTCGATCATCTCGTCTTCGTCTCTCTCGTCTACGTTCCACTCACTCACTCACTCACTCTCTCTCTCTCTCTCTCTCTCTTTCTATCTCTCTCTGTTTCTCTCTCTATCTTCTTTGCACTAACATACTACTACTACTGTTCCTGCTGCTCCTGCTGCTGCTCCTGCTATTGCTTTTTCTGTTCAATGCATAGTACTTACCGAAGAAGAGAGACAGACAGACAGAGAGAGAAAGAGAGAGAGAGAGAGACATGTGCGTGCAGAGCATGTGTTACGCGAGAGGGACCCGTTCGTACATTGCCGAGTGTGTTTGTGCGTCGACACAAAAATGCCTTGGCACGATCTTCCTTCTCATAGGGCCCCTCGAGGAACCCTACCTTACCTACCTACTAGGTATGCACTATGTTTGATCTTCATCGACAATACTACTCCTATTGGGTTCATTTCTTTGATACCTATTCATTGATTCTATTCTTTGATTTACCAGGTTGATTTTGAGTTGAAAAATTGTTCGGGATTTAGATTGAATTGTAACTAGTACATCGCTGATAAAATTTTATTTTTATACTTTTATTGACCTTTCTATACGTAGGTGTAGAACGTATGTATAGACACGCACTAACACATCTATATATATATATATATACATATGTATATATAAATATATATATATATATATATATATATATATATATATTTAAAAGGAGAAAAAAATAATACAAGTGCGCCAAGCTTTCGTCGCGAATGCTCCAAGACGCACCAATTAAAAAACTCGACTTAGGCCTGACTTTAGATGACGTTATTAGGAGGAGGAGCCTCCTTTAGACTGTGATCCCTATTGGCTAACACGTTTTGAAGGTGGAGACCTGGGCAAAAGCCCGCTGTGGTTTCGAAGAATAGGTATCAACCATAAAGGAGCTAAGTTCATTCTAAAGAATTTATTAATTGATCGTTTCTATTCATCATTTTTGGAATTTTGTTTATCTTTATGGGATCGCTTGTGGAATAACTTTGAGAGAAGTGAACATAAATTTAGAAAAGAGTTATATTTTCGATCTTTACGATTTATAATTTAAGACAGTTTTCTTTTTCAATTATCCGTTCAATAATTATTACATGAAATAGGACAATAATTCTTATCTTTTATTTCTTATACTTTCAATCTTGATAGGTTTGTTACATTGAAACTATTTAATTATTCTATAATAATCTTTCATAGCGCATTCCTTTCATCGGATTAACAATCAGTAAATGTTTATGTAGTTGTTAGAGGAAAAGAAAATGTTAGATCTTTTAGTGATTATTTATTTTTTATTTGCTTCTTCTTCTTCTTCTTCTTCTTCTTTTTTTGTTTTTCTTTTTTTTTTATTTATTTATTTTTTATTTATTTTTTTTTTTCATATCTGAAATTAATATGTCCTTTGGGTTATAAAAATTTTCATTAACTTTTTGTTAATACAATTATGAGTTTCCTTCGAATATCATAATGAAAACTTTGATATTCCTTTCGTTGAAAATGTAAATCTTTTCGATTGGGATAATATTCTAATAGAAAGAGAAAATGCAATGCGCAAGGAACGTTTAAGAGTGTAAGAGACATCGCGTTGGAAAAGATAGTTCGAGCCACGCCTTCTCTCGTTTTCGAGGCATCATGCGAATTTCAATGAAACTCGTACGTAAGTCTGCAATCCTACGAGCACGTTACTCCCTTCGTCTTTGGAAGATCGGCCTTCGCGGAATACCGCGGAGTAGCTTGGGCCATGATGTGCTTCTTCTTCTTCTTCTTCTTCTTCTTTTGCTATACGTCCTCCTTGCCCCTTCGCATTTCCTGTCGGCTCTTCTCTTCGTCTCTCGGACTCGATACCAACCGGCATTGTACGACGAGAGCCTGTCTTGCTCCTTTCTCTCTCTCTCTCTCTCTCTCTCTCTCTCTCTCTCCCTTTCTCCCTTCCTCTCTCTTGCTTTCTCCATTATGCTAGAAGCTGTAGACAAGGAGAGAAGTCAGTGGAACAGGTGCCAACCGGTTCGAGAAAGTTTCCACCAATAAGCTGCGTTAGGCCCTTACGTACCGAGTAGTACTTCGAAAGACAGGTGGCACGACCCCGTGCGTTATGTCCTTTTACATGCTTTTCAAACTTTAACTCTTTTTCTGCGTTTAATATGGCATTATTAATTCGATTAGTTTTCTATATTCGGGAAAATTCAAAAGTCTTGAATTTTATCTATCCTTTTCGATATAATTCATCGGATTGATTAAATATTATTTAAAGGATTATTTCTCAAACGATTTAATAGTCTACGTATTGATTATATGTCTCTTAGAAAATGATTAAATCATAGTCGTTATAATAAATAATATATAAATACTTAATTTTGATATATAACCGATTAAATATAATCAATTAGATATTCTTTTTTCTTTTTTCTTTTTTAACGCAGCTCATAAATGTAGCTCATTTTCAAAACAATTCGTCTCAAGTTAAAAAAGCTATCATCCATCATAGATCTCCTATAGATTAACGTATACATCTCAAACTCGAAGGACAAAGCTAGACACGATCTCCTATGTCCACTAGACCTGACCTTATTCCCACCTCCTCCTTATCCATCAGGTCAACTCCTTTATCGTCGTCACTGTCGTCGGCAACGATGACATCGAGAGCTCGTCTAGCCATGAAAAGCGTTGCACACGTGGTTCGTCTTCCTGCAAAAGGCAAGAAAGTTAGAAAGAAAGAAAAGGAGAGAAAGAGAGAGGAAGGGAGGAAGGGAAAGAGAGGAAGAGAGAGAGAGAGACAGAAGGAGAGAAAGGAAAAGAGAAAGAAGTATGGAAAGAGAGGGAGAGAGAGAGAAAGATATAGACGAAACGAGGAGTGGCAGGCTTGGTTGGCAGGGTTGGTTGGCAGGGTTGGTTGGCAGAATGGCTCGCAGGCAGTTTGCAGCACGGTAAGGTACGGAACGAAGCAGTGCAGAGCGGAAGGAAGAGGCACGGGGGCTCGTACACGCCCCCTATGCGTCGTTGGGATTGGGGGTGGTTGCAGAGCGGTAGCGGTAACGGTAGCGGCAGCCTAAAGGGTAGGTATACGCACTGCGAGTTACGTTGGGGTAGGCCTATGCTTGGCCTGCGTGGGCGTGGGTGGCTCCACCCCGTCGAGGATCATCCTTCTGGGGGGATGAAAGAAAGCAAGCTAGCTAGCTAGCTAGGTAGCTAGCAAACGTGCGACCGACCGACCGACCGACCGAGCACTCGTCCGACCGAGAGAGACGAAACGAGTAACGAGAGAAGAAAAGAGACAGCAAAACTGTTCTCTATCTTTCTCTCTCAGTCTTTCTGGCGTACCATGCGGAGGCAGCGCCGATCGAGGCGACTCTACGAGAGTCTCCCAACGTCTGCATCAACTTGTGTCTTGGTATATACACATATTTACTTATATATACGTATACATATTTTCTTTCGCATTCTCTCTCGTACGCACTTACCCATGGCGGCCGACTATGTCGGGCCTTCCACCCTCATTTCCGGATTTTTCCTTCGGTCAAGTCATCAACCCTCGCGAACGACCCGCGGTCATCCACCTGGTCGACACTCGGCCTACCTCGAAACTTGAAACCCACTGCAGCAGCAGCAGCAGCAGTAGCATCGATGCTGACGGCACCAGCCAAAGACCTCGTTTCTTTTCAATGATGATGGATATATGGAGAAACGATGAAGACTGTGGTCTTCGTCGCTGTCAATTAACAGTGCAAACGAGAAAGAGATGGAGACGTTCGACGTGCTTATCAATAGAGATATGTATGTCGAACGTTCAAAGAGTTTAGTAATTAGGATAATGCTTCGGACTATTAGACTTTGAGGTTTCCTTTATATCACAATTTTTATATATTCTACAATATTTCTATCATATTTTAGTTTTCGATTATCAAAGAATTTATTGAATACGTCCATCATTTCCCTTTTTTCTTTAATCTATACTTATCTCTTTCGCTCTTTTTCCTTTTTTTTCTTTTTCCTTTTTATTAGATATTATTGACTTTTGATCTTAAAATCTGAAATATCTCCATCATTTTAGTTTTCAATTATAAAAGAATTTATCGAATATGTCTGTCATTTCTCTTTTCCTTGAATCTACATTTTTCAATAATTCGATCTATTCCATCAATGACTTTATCCAGAGACAAGGAGGGTTCATACTATACGTCGAGACGTTCATCTCTCTACGTTCCCTCGATACATCGTTACGTTTCATTTGCGGTGTCATGGATGTTTATCGTGCCTTCCGGTGGCGATTTCCAGAAGAGAAAGAGAGAGAGAGAGAAAGAGAAAAAAAGAAAAGAAAGAGAGAGAGAGAGAGAGAGAGAGGAAGAGAGGAAGAGAGGAGTTACTTTGAGAAGAGACCGACATATTCGAGATCCGTCTCCAAAGAGTCACACGATATAAACATAAGTACGAACCACCCAAGGGGATATAAGCGAGTTATTCTATAAATGTTTATTCCTCGAGCAATAAAAAGTCTCGTGGTACGAGCCAATAAGGAACGATTTAAATTCTCAATCTCTCACTGTATCAGATATTTCTTAGAAAAATGAGAGTTCATCTTGTATGAATTAAATCGAAATGAAATTAATATTTTAAGAATTGAAATTCATCTAAGAAATATTTGACAATGAGTTAGAATATAATGATATGGTAATTTTCTTTTTTTCTTTTTTTTTTTTTTTTTTATTCAACTTTTAAGGAAATCAAGATTAAACATTATTTCTCATTAATGGTATCAGTACGATCTAAAAAATATGATAACATTCGATCATATTATCATTTTTATCTCAATTATAACATATACCTAAGACGAATGACAAGAAATTGTATAAAAAAAAAAAATCCACATTCATAAGAAAAAAAAAAAAATCCCAAACGCTTTAGCTGAGTAAGTTATTAAAAGAGAAACAACAAAAAGAAAAAAAAAAAGGAGAGAAAAAGAAAAGAAAAGAAAAAGAAGAAAAAGAAAGAGAAAAAAATCATCGCTTAAAAAGCCATAGATAATATCAAAATTTAGTTTGATAAAATAAAAAAAAAAAAGAAAGAAAAAAAAAAAAGAAAAAAAAACATTCCTCGACCTTTAATTATTTCTATGCAAAAAAAAAAAAAGAAAAGAAAGATAAAGAAAAAAAGAAAACATTAAAGGAGGCGTGTTAAATCGTCATCATCTTTATCGGAACGTCTCGAAGACTGAACCTTCTTATTTTCTGTCTCTCTCTCTCTCTCTCTCTCTCTCTCTCTCTCTCTCTCTCTTCTTTTCTTAAGACCTTAGGTACAGCATTACGAAGAAAATCTGGGCGGCGAAGTGGAGAATGGAAGAGGTAGAGAAGAAAGAGGAGATCGGGCGAGCAGCCAAGCAAGTAAATTCACGAGACGGTGTGGGCCGGGCCCTTGGTTGGCCTTGTTGGTACCCTTGGATTTCGGTCGGTGTCCTTGGCACTGATGGCGGCCACTCGGTCCACGACCACTTTATTCCTTGCGTCGTCCATCGCGATGCATTCTACTTCTCCCTTTATCCAACTCACTACTGCATCTTCTTTCTCTCTTATTTATTTATTCTTTTGGGCCGGCGGCCGCTCTTTGTCCCTCGACGCGTCGGCTGGTTGGCTGTTCGCTTGGTTGGACGTTGAACGTTGCTCCTTCGAATACTTCTGCTTAGGGTATACTGACCTACCACGACTGCCATGAGAAAGAGGGAGAGAGAGAGAGAGAGAGAGAGAAAGCGAGAGAGAGAGAGAGAGAGAAAGAGAGAGAATGATAGGTACAACGTATAAGAAAGAGGAAGAGAGAGACGGAGAGAGAGAGAGAGAGAAGGAGAGAGGGAGAGAGAAGGAGGGAAGGAGGGAACGTACCTGGCAGGTAGGTACACACCTCACTTCGGCGGGCCAGCAAACTTCGGGTACAGTCACGTTCAACAATCCCTAAGATTCGAGCTTCCTTTGAGATCGTTCATGAAAGATCCTTACTCGTTTTTCTTTAACTTCAAATTCGATTAGTTATTGTATATCGTTGAAATCAATCTGTAAGATTGGATTTATTGAAGCGTTCAAAGGACTTTTCTTTGAAATAGAATAATGCCTCTTATTATGGTGTCAGTTTGGTGTCGTTATGGCTGTTAGTTATTCTCGAACATAAAACTCGGTTAGTCATTGCATGTAATTATTAAATTATGATAAATCTGCAGAATTAGATTTAATTGAACTATACAAAGGGTTATTATTATTTTTTTTCTTCTTCTTTTTTTTTTTTTTTTTTTTTTTATTTAACGTTTCGTTTAACAAACGATCATCAAAGCATCGAAATATATATTCTTTCTTCTTTCTTTTTTTTTATTTTTTTTTTTTTTTTTTTTTTTTTCTTCTTTTTGTTACTCAGATAAAATAATTCTTACCGTAGTGATGTTTTCGTATATGTAATCGAGAACTATAAGATTCGTTTTGATAGTAGAAGAAAAAAAAAAGAAAAAAATAAAACACGAATATCTTGTAAGTTTGATAAGAAACATTTTCCTTTCCTTTTCTTAAACGACCCATAAAATACACGAATACGCTTACATTGGGGATATGGTGTATCTTGTATAAATATGCGGATATTTTATTGCTATCATTTACATGCATGTACATCGAACAAGGTACCGTTGGCCGACTTCGACTACGTAGACATTTTCGTTGACGAAACGACGTCGTTAATACGTTCTTCTCTGACATCTTCTCTCAGTCGAATTTTATCAACGAGATATGGAATCCTGTGGTTTCTACTTTCAACAAGATTTTATATCTTTTTGCTGTGGGACGATTTCTCTCTTGAAAGTTGTATACTTCCGATCGAAAAGATTAAATTCTTTACCTATCTTACTTTGTCTCTTTAAATCTCTTTCTAGATTGGAAATATTTCGCGAGAAAAGAAAAAAAAAAAAGGGGGGGGATGATTTAATCAATAATCAAATGTACCTATCTATATTTCTTTTATTATTTGCCCTTGTAACTAGGGTAAAAAGATATTTCTTATAAACAAAAAAAAAAAAAAAAGAATGTAATTATTAAATTATTTTACTATCTACTCTAATTAAAAAATCACATGATTCTGAGGATAAATATGAATAATTAACGTATACTCGGGCGTCAATATTTATTTAAATATTTCTTTCACGTCTCTTTTTGTCCATTTGTTCAGATTAAATGATTTATAAAGTATTATTGTATGTTTAAAGATCACGTTTATCGATTATGTATCTATGATTATTAACAATGCTTTATATTACGGTTATAAGTAATATAGATATAAATAATATAAGTAATATAAATAATTAATATAAAAATGATAAAGAATATGATTTATGGATTGATGCTTAACGTTTAGTATGAGCTCGTCCATGTGTGTTCCGAAGCGAAGACGACTCAGCTCGTTAAAATTGTCTCTCGACGAGCCGTCGAATCGCGTTCCGAGCTTTCCTTTCGAGATTACAGCGTAGTGTCGCTCGTTTCCGGCGCGTCTAGCGTTCTCCGACTTCTACTTCTTCCACCCAGTCGAACTTGTAATTTCCTCCGATCGTTCGAGTTGCTAGTCGAGCCGACGATCGTTCACGGCACACGCGTGTACGCTCGGCTGCGTGAGTCGAGCGATCATGCGTATCCATCTTGCGAAAGCGAGTTCTCTTTTCAACGATTTTA